GGTGTGTGTGTGTGTGTGTGTGTGTATGAATATATATATATGTATATATATATATACATCTGTCCATTCAACAGTCAACGGACAAGTGGATTGCTTCCACCTCTTGGCTACTACGAATAATACTGCCATGAACATGGGTGAACAGCACACAGGGTCCCTTTTAACACAATAATTACACTGACTGCAGAGAGACGCTTGCAGCATGAGAGGCACGTAGGAATGCACTCAGAGGAAGGAAACCACAGATTTGCATCTCCCGCATCATGCTGAGATCGGGGAGGAAGGGGACATTTGCTTGCCTGTGCGGTAGCAGGCTGCAAACTTCACATTTTTAGTTTTAGGTCCTTTTTTCTTTCTAGATGCCTATATGATGTGACTTCTTTGTCATGATTAACTATTACACCTTTGGACGCTCTGAATGAGAGCCTCAGTGTGCATCAAAAGCATCATCCGCTGCTTCAAAGTAAAATTGTCCCCAAACACTTACAGTTCGAACACAGCAGCCCAGTCTGGAAGGAAAAGTAAATGGGTAAGACCAGCCCCATGCATTCCAATAAATATGTCTGTGTTATGCGTGATCCTTAGCTGGTCTAAAAACCCAAGCTCCCTGTGAATATAAAGAACAAAAGAAAGAAGGAGAGAAGAGTGTAAGTATTAAGTTGAGGAAGCTCATGACTCAAGGTAACAAAGTTTATACAAGTGTCTTTGCCAACTTAAATCACATTCCACCATGGTTTTTTTTTTTCCTTCCAATTTCAAGCTTACTCCAGTAATTAACAACGTTACTACTTAATAACATTTTTTCTAAGTTAAGCTCACCTTTTTTTAACTTACATGTTCTTATTTTAAAAGGAAAATTTTATACCTGTCTTCAGTGGAAAAAAGTGACATACGATGTAAACAAAAGTATAAAAATAGACATAACCACACTGAAAAGCATGATTCCAATCTAGGTACGTAACAGTGTGAGGCAAAGCTCTGAGCCTGAGGCTTGCTCTCTCTTGATGAAAAGGTGAAATAAAGCAAGCTTTAAAGAGATGTTATGGTATATTAGCACCAAATTGTAAACTCTTTCTTTAAGATCATACAAGATTTTTTTTTAAATAAAATAAACTCTTCCCCGCATGATTTGAGTTATTCAACTGCCATCTGGCTACCCCTAAAATTATCTCGGATGCCAGGAGGGCATTTTCCTGCCTCTGCAACAGATGAATCCACAATTTTATGCACATTGGGACTGTCAAGTGGTCTCTGAATTCAACATTAAAAGATGTGCAAACTCTGGACCAAAAATCAGTGCCAAAAAAGTTCACTGACAAGTGAGGCTTAGAAGACAGACTGGAGTGAGGATAACATCCTGAACAAACATAATGGAATTAATCTCCCAGTCTCGCTCACCCAAAGGGAAAAAAAAAATAAATGACCAAGAGCAGTTTGCATGTAAGAAGGGAAAACAAATTCCCTCTTAGTCAGCGTCTTCTCTTTAAAGAGCTTCCTCTCACAGCAGGATGGAAACTCCACACCCCACACAGAGAAAGGAAGACAAAGGCACCACGTGGGCGTCGTGGGTGTCGCATGAGTCTCTCCCCTAGTTTCTCCAGGAATTTTAACCCAGGGAGGGGCGGATGAGCGTTCGTCCAGGTGACCACACCCCTGCAGGTACCATCCATGGGAAATGCCTGAAGATCAGGACTCACAAACCTCCATGCTGTTATGTCACTACTGTGCCCCCTAGACTGGCAAGGTCCTAAACTTTACTGTCATTCTCCCCTCATGTGGGAAATCCCTATGGATCCTTAAAAGCCAGTCCATGACAGAGCCTCAGGTGCCCTCCCGGGTTCTCTGAGCCTGACGCCCAGCCCTCTTCTTGCCTCCACTGCAGGTGGTCACCATGGCGCAGTCTGACCTGTCAAACAGGAATGGCTTCAGCTACCTCACAAGACTCTCAGAAGAAGGAGATGAGACAAAGCAAGTAGAGCATGACAGTGAGTCTCCATAACAGGAGTTATTCTTGTAACTGTCATTCATTTGCATTCAGGGTCTGAGGTTCTCAGGACAGGAGCCGTGCGGCGTCCCAAACTGCACTGGGGCCGTGAAGCCTGGGGACAGGCTCAGGGTGGGTACCAGATATGCCTGGTCACACGAATGAACAAATGCACGATGAATGAAGAGCAGAACTCCCATGCTGACCAGCAGGCTGGAACCCAGCTATGTTAGGCACCCTTACGCAGGTAAATGTATACCTTTCTTCTCAACACAGAAAAAAAGTGTTCCTCGTGTTAAATTTGGAAAACAAGACTATGCTTGTGGGTAGGCGAAGGAGAGAAGGAAAAGTTTTCATTTTCCTTTTGCACTTTTCTACAGCGCGTGACGTTTTTCAACCAGGAACATGACCTACCTTTACAGCATCACTGTTTGGTGTCAACAGGGGTTACCCGGACAGTAACCAACAGGCAGATTCTGTCTTTCTATGCTTTCTTTTTGTGTCAGAATTTTAAAAGAGACGCAAATATTTGGTAAGATTTTTTGAAACCTCATATTATTCTATGAACCTCAAATTATTCCCGTATAAATAATCTTAGGTCAGAAGTTTAAACCTGGAAACTAGCAGGGCAAATGAGGCCTACATTTTTTTTTTAATTCGGAATTAGTTGCTGACATTTAAAAATTCAGAAATTTTGACAGAGAAGGACAAATATCACATGATATCACTTACATGTGCAATCTTAAAACGTAATACAACGAACTTATTTACACAACAGAAATCGACTCACAGACACAGAAAACAAACTTATGGTTATCAAAGAACAAAAGGAGGTGAGGGATAAATTAGGAGTCTGGGATTAACAGAAACACATTACTATATATAAAATAGATAATCAACAAGGCCCCACAGGGAACTCTACTCAATGTCTCATAATAACCTATAATGAAAAAGAATCTGAAAAAGAATATATATATACACACACACACACACATTTCCCACTGAATCACTTTGCTGTACACACAAAACTAACACATTGTAAATTAACTATATTTCAATAAAAATTTTTTAATTCAGAAATTTCGAGTGAAAATCAAGATTCATGACTTCTTTTAAAAAACGGGATGGTGTCACAAGCTGGAGCGCTCCTGCCCCCTGCGCCTGGGGCCCTCACCTGCCCATTTCTCTTCACTCACTGATGGTGCCTGCCTGTCCCTTCCAAGCCTACAAATGCCAACAGCTCCTACTCGAACAGTCCTTCCTAACCCCCAGTAACTCATCCAAGCAGAAGAGGACACTGTCTGCCCAAGAATGGGTTATTACTTACTTATACTTGTAATCGACAATCTGGACCTCAAATGTAGATACTGTTTTCAGTGCGTTTACAAGCTGGGGAAAAAAATCAGAAACATTTAGAATTTCTTTTCCATCCTTCTCTTCTGTTTTACTTACCTTTGAGAACTCAAATTTCTTATTTTTCACATAAAATGCTTTTCAAGCCTTAAATATCATTTAAGTCTATTGTTTTAACCCTTAACTGACTTCAATTACAGGCTCCACCCCCTGCATTTTAGGGCAGACATTTCCCCCCCCCAAAAATTGCCCTGGGTGGTTACGAGGTTGAAAGGAGAAAAGTCACGGAGCAAAGTGCTCAGCACAGAGGCACACTGACGGTCAGCTCCTGTAACCACCACGTGCCACTTAGTCTCTCAAATTTCATCAGATACTCATTGGGCATCTACTTTGTTCCAGAATTTTCTTCCTATCCATTATCTCATTTCAGACAAACCTGAGTGCTTTGGAAGCTCATCCACTGAAAATACTAAGTTCTTGGCAGAAGCTATTTTCAACATTTCTACACAGAGAAAAATCATTCTTTTAGCAAACAGAAAGCAACTAAGCACGATGAATCAATCACCAAAAACATCACCATGGCTCTCTATGCCCCTCGCGATTAAGTCATCTTAAGCCAACACTGGGGATCACTGTTCCTCAAAAATTTTTACATGTAGATTCCATTGCTGTGTGGCACACGTGGCATATGCTGGACACAGCTATGGTAAGGGAGGCATCACTGACTGTGCATTTAAATTGTGCTGGCATTTCTAAGTGCTTCAGGTGTACGCCACTTAATACTCATAAAAATCATACCACAGAAGTACCATTATTATCCGCATTTTATAGATGATATAATGAACGCTCAGAGAAGTTCCGTAACGTTCCCAGGATCTCCTGCCTAGCAAATGGCAGAGCCAAAATTAAATCTAGGTCATCTGATCCCAGAACTTGTGTTCTTAGCCAGTGCACTCCACTCTCCTGCTTATAAAAAGAAACATGCAGTGGCCAAAATCCAATCTCCTCCTTGTTACATACGCACACGCACACAGTCATGAAATGAAAGTTTCTCTCACTAGACGGTCGCTGGACTACTACAGAGACACTGCTTATATCAAGGAGTTGAGGAGTGAGGACAGATGATGAGAATTCCATTTTCCAGGGGAGAATTAATCAGACGGCACGAGAGCCGCTCTTGTAATCAGATGGGCCCATAGAAGAGGAATTATGTGTCTCTGAGGGTCCTGCGGGAAGTGTACTTTTTTTTCACAATTTCTAGTTATACAAGAGAGCTGGCCATGTCCGTTCTGGCACGATTATTCCAACCCTGAGGTTGGGCAGGACTGCATGCATCATCATTTAATGAGGGCATCTGGGTTTTGTTATCTATGCACGAGTCAAGGGAAGGGAAAAGGTGATTTCTTCTCTGTCTGATAGCTGCCCTTCCAAGTGATGCCAATCCTGGGAGAAAAGCAGCCAGCTGGGCACTCTTCGGCTCAGAGTTGGAGCCAGAATTCCCAAACTCCACCTTTGGCTAAGAGCATCTGGGCAATCTGTGGGACCAGATCCGAAAAGGCCAATGGCTGCAGTGCAGCACTCCCTGGTGCCACCTTTCTATTGGACCTCTTTCCAGCAGCTGATGCTGTCCCTTCACCTGCCCCTTCCCAGTGGATCCAAAACCAAGGTGGCTCAGCCTCCTCTAAGGTCTGGCTGTGTTAGAGCAGGGGAGCGCTCTGCCAAAGAAGTAGGCTCAGACCCTGACTTCCTGCGCTGACCCGTCATTACTCTGCACACTGGCTGGGCAGCCTTGGCCATGTGTTTTAACCTCTGAGCCTCAGTGTCCTTGTCTAGAACAGAGAATGAAATACCTCAGGTACAGGTTTGCTGGGGGAGCTGGAGGACATGTATGGGGAGCACACAGCAATATACCTGGCACATAAGTATACTCAACACACGTTACCTCTGCCAACAGGGACTACTGATCTGCCTCCCATCCGTCTACTCCAACACTGCATCACTTGATACGTTTTTATTTCCTGGTCTTTAAAACACACATGCATACACTGCTCATTTCTTCCACCCACATAGCTTACGATCAATCAATGCCTCACGACACCGCATGTTCATGCCCTCCCTAATCCATGTGTCTCCAGAAGAGATGCTAATCACACAATTCTGATCACCCTGTTAGGTGCCCAGATTAACATTCTACCTCTCAAAGCCTGTCCCCCACCTCCCTCTTACTATAAGTTTCCCCATCTCAATGCCACTGAACTGCTCTAGCCAATTGCCTGGGAGTCCACACTTTATTCTCAGCACCCCTCTTGGCCTTCCCTGATGCCCTGACTGTACATCCCGCAGTAAGTACCCCAGGCTCCACGTTAGACCTTGAACCCATTTGTTCTGTCATCCCTACCATCATCGCCTTCATCTACATTCCTACTGGGGCCACACGCTCTTAATCAATCTGCCTGCTCCTGCTCTTGCAGTCACAGTGATTTAAAAATAACTAAGTCAGGTCATGTCTCTCCCTGTGAATTTGTTTTCTATTTGCTGCTAGGATAAATTAGGACAAAGTTAGCACCTAAAAACAGCACAATTTATCCCCTAACGGTTCTGTGGGATAGAAGTCAGACACAGGGAGAGAGGTCTCACTGGGATGAAATCAAGACGTAGGCAGGGCTCTACTCCTGGAGTCTCTAGGGGAGAATCGTGGCCTTTCCCAGCTTCCAGAAGCCATCCATCCACATTAGAATGTGTCTTATTATGTCAAGGACATCTTCCAGTCATGCTGCTGGAGAGGCCTTCCATGGTGATCTTATTGAGGTTAAGTATAATTTATGAATTGATACTGTTGAAATGAGTCAGAGAGCCTAAGAAGGGAACAGCTTCTAAGACACATATGTAAAGGATGGACACTTTTCCAACTGAATCTGCTGCTGGATACCACAGGATGGCCAAGCTCCATCAACCATCTCCAAAAGATACTCTCCCACTTTTTTCTGTGGCTAGTTTGTCCAGAGACAGAATGTCTGGCCATCCATGGCAGCAAAGGCAGGACTCAGAGACAGTTTTTGTCTCTGTTTCCACTCTGAGTTGGTGCGCATGAACATTTACAGGAAGGTAAAGCTCCTTTGGCAATGGATGGTTTGATGATTTCCAGGAGAAATTCAACAAATGAACTGGTCAGAGCTATTAAACTTTTCTAAAAGCAAATAATATGAAGTCAAAGTGGAAAAAAGAAATCACATCAGGCACAGAAAGTTAAATTCAATATATGATATTAAAAATGCATACCAAAAACTAACCTCATTTTGGTTTAGTATTTTCCGGTATTCTGTGCTCCGTGCAAGAATGGTGACTCGAACTTTTCCATCCTGTGAAAAGGCAAAATAATACTGTAAAGGCTTGGACAGACAAATGAACATCTGAACCTAAAATGTGATTTTTCACAAAGAAATGAAACTCAGTAAGTTTCATCTTTATGGGACTCATTTTTTCAGCCTGATTCCTTCACAGGTCTCCCAGGGAATGAAAATGTCCCCACTTCAGGCACAGAAGGCAAAACCTGTTCATTACGCTACTCTTGCCTGGCTGGGTGGGTAGATTTGGGGCAGAGGCTGTGTGGGGCTAGGTCGGGGTCTGGAGGAGGATGAGGAGATACAGAGAAAGGAAAAGGAAAAGAAAGGAGACACATTCTTCCGCCACCTCTTGGTTTATCTTTCCTAGTTTGTTGAACTCTGATTTCAGATCACTCTCGGTAAGAAAACGTTAACCCAGAAAACACAGTCTGCTGATTATCTCCCTTTTCTGCAAAGCTGGTACTGATGTTTACTAGGGGTGAAAAGTCAAGCCCACCTCAGAACCCACAATCTATTCATTACCTTGGGTCCCTCTTGGGTGATGTTCAGTCTGTGTAGTACATGCTGGGAAAATGCTCTAAACAATCCCGTGTTTTGACAGCCAGATATCTAAAATTAAAAAAAGTTTTTCATATTATAATGAATAACTTCTGTATTACTATTTAAGACGCTCTCAAATTATATATAAATGTTATCTTAAAGTCCATCAAATATAAATTCTATGAATATGAATGTTAACAACAGATGACATGCTCACCAGAGGAGTATTATAGAACAGCCCATATCTCATCCGGGGGAGTAAGGAAAAAATAGCTTCTTTAAAACATACCTAAGAATGAAGAGATTTTAAAAGGTAAGAGAATACAACTTGCACACTTCACATCAAAACAGCACTTATAATTACAGGAAAAAATTTTAAACTAATCTCTATTTTGCATTAAACTATTTTGAATAGCAAATTATTTCACTCAAGTGAGATTCATATTTTTGGAAAAGCTACAGGAAAAAGTTTTAAAAGCTACATGGTTAATAAGAACGATGATTCCAGTTATAAGAAAAGAAACGAAGAAGTCAGAAATCAATGGTAATAGCTCACGGAAACCCAGATTAAACATTTATTTGGTGACTGAGGCATCTGTAATGACAGTTATTTACAGACATTTCGGTGAAGTTTCCAGTACCCTTTTGGAATCGTAAGTTTTCAAATGTATAACATCATAATCAGTAAACACTTTCCACGTGTCGGAGAACAGGTCACCGTATCCGTAGGTGCTCTGAAAGTGGAAATAAAGTAAATTAGGGAATTAACAGGATAAATGTGGCTTTTCAAAAATGCAACAAAATACCCGAATTAGCTTGTTAGTGTTAAGAAATAACGATCCCAAACAAGCTCATAAAACCCTCAGAAGAAAAATGGGTTTTCATCTTGGGCCTGAGCAAGTCCCTAAGCTGACATAAAAGAAATCAGAAGTAATCATCACAATTATAATCTTAGTCTACTGAAAGTGTTATGTCTCTTTGTATTCTCATGTCTTTGAAATTGCAGTTGTGGAGTTTTTCTTCCTGTGAATTTTCTATCCAATTCACAGCTACACACAACACATATATTCTCCACCTTTTGCACACATTCTGAGATACTCAGGGAGCAAAATCCATCAAGGGAGACAGAATATGCTTTGGGGAAGAAATTTCAGAGCAAGAAAGTGCCCTGAAAGTTTTAACGTTAAAAATATAATGAATGTAGGGGGGAGGGTGTAGCTCAATTGGTAGAGCACATGCTTAGCATGCATGAGGTCTTGGGTTCAATCCCCAGTACCACCATTAAGTATATAAATAAATAAACCTAATTACCTCCCCCCTCAAAAAATTAAAAAAAAATATAACAAATGTAACTCTAGGAAAGGATCTTCCTACGGATGACTGAATAACACATGGTAATTCTCAATTAACGTTAATAATAACAGTAACAATAATGCTAATACTGCTACTAACAATAGAATCTTGCATACTTCCTACAGCCCAAGCACTGTTCCAAGAACTTGACATTATTAACACATTAAATCACCCCACAAAGTTAATGAGCGAGGGAATAGTGTTACCCCCATTTTACAGATGAGGAAACAGAGACACAAATTTAATTTGCCTAAACTGTAGAGCTGGTGCATCTGCAGCGCTGGGATTAAATCCAGTCTGTCTGATTCCAGACCCCATGCTTGTAACCTCTATAAAGCAGCTGCCTCTCGATGGGAACTAGTTCTCTCTGGTACATTTACCAAATGCATTTCATTTTTGAAGAGTAGAAATTAATTACGTGCTCCATCAGCTAAAGGAAGGAAGTTGATTTATTCCGAAATGGTAAAACTTAGATTGAAAAATTCAGCCCAAAGAAATAGGAAATATGTATTATAGGGTTACATTCAAGGTCTACAGTTGGTTGTACATTATGTTCATGTCTTTTTATCTGCACAGCATTCTTTTTGTCATATTTTGAAAATTTTATGTTGCACATATTAGAGCTATTTCAAAGTTATTGAGAACTGTTAGATGTGGTGATAAAAAATAAAAATTCTTTCCTTCCATGTTTCTCCAGGGCTGTTCTAATAACGGCCCTTCTCAACATCATTAAAAATTCAAAATGTCCCTGTTTTGGCTCAATAATAAATAAAGGGCAATTAAAAGAAGTGATTCTAGACAGTTTCCTGAGATAAAATACTTCAGATAAAATAAGATACCTTTGAAAAGAAAATTTAATAATAAAACATAGTAACCCTGACTGGTCCCTTTTCAGAAAAATCATACATTAGTCAGTAATAAGCACCTCTAGAAGCTTCTTTTCCATATCCCTCAAATTCAAATTATCTGCCACAGGGAAAGGAGGGGCTTTTCTAGTCTCATATATGTTGAAGAATAGTTGGATATTCTTAAGGTGACATAGAATTTCCCTAGTGTATGTCTCAGACCTCTGACTTAGAAATTCCACTTGTAAGGATCTGCTCTACAGAAATGCCAAGATGGCTGTGTGAAGACATATGTACATGAAAGGGACGTTCACAGCAGCAGTTCAGTAAAGAGCAAAGAATTGGAAACAAACTAAGTGTGATCAGGGTGGGGACAGAGATAAACGCATGTGCTAAGGCATCCATCAAACATCCGTTACATCCATCAAACAGAAGAGCACGGAACCACTAAAAAAACTGGAACCCTAACTGAGCTGACTTGGAAGGATGTCTGTGATATAATGTTAAGTTAGCAATACGAGAGAACATATTTTCTGTAAGGGGATAAACATATCCTTATGCAAATTTTATATACTTAATATATAAACATACATATATATCCTTATACAAATCCTTATATAAATCTTGTATATGGATATATTTACATTATTAAAGTAAAGTCTTGCAAAGGAATGTCACACATGTTAACTGCAGTTACCTTAGCGGGAAGTGGAATTGGAGAAGACGAAGAGGGAGACTTTTTTTTAATTTTACACACTTCTGTGTTGTTTGAACTCATTATAACCAGGTCTTGCTCATGTAATTACAAATAATAATAATAAAGCTACACTACTTCTCAGCACAAGGAAACGAGGCAAGCCTGCAGTAAGTGCCCTTGTGTTCCCTGTGTAAGAGCAGGGCTGCCGGCGCGTTCAGCTAAATCCATCCTGCCCGTCCGTATTGAGGTCAGCGAGCACTGACATCACGTGCCCAGTAAGCTGAGTAACTGGGGAGCCTTAAAGGTGGTCATGCATCCTAGTCACCCCACCCCAGCCAGCACAGAGAAGGGGAGGGTGGCAGAAGCTGGCTCAGTGTAACTCAGTCCACTAGAGAAAGACACAGAAAAGCATGCAACAAGATACAAGGGAACTTCTGGTAAACTTTCCGTCAGTGAGTGCTGCAGGGAACTACAGGAAGGTGATACGGCCCTGCGGTTTCAGGGCCCAGGTCTGGGGAAAGACTGCCTGGATGGGAACCCTGGACTCCACCCCGCGCTGACTGAGTCATCTTAGAAGCAAGGACTGCCAACCGCACAGAGCTTCAGCTTCCTCATCTGTAAAATAAACTAATAAAAACCCTAGTCCACAGAGGGTTGTGAGGATTAAATGAGGTAACACTGGATGTAATAAAAAAAAAAGGCGCAGCAACCTCGAGTTAATCATTCGGGGCCACCGAGAGCCACTGCACGTGACCTGGAAGCCACAATCTTCTGCAGAAAGAGGAAAAGAAAGGAACTGCAGATCCCTGTGCTCACAGAAACATTTCCAAGAAATGCAACTGCAGGGGCAGCAAAACTGGACGACAGGAGGGGAACGAAAGTACAAAGAAGGAAATCAAGAGCAAGGCGTAACATGCCAGGAAGGTTAGAACCAAGTCTTGTCAGACTTCAAATCGAACTGCAGGCCTAGGGAGCCGTGATGACGAAAGCCTCCCCACACAGCTCAGCTGCCAGCCTCCCATCAGAAAAAATCGTCAGCAAAACCAGTTTCCCTTCTGCCCGAGAGTCTGACCTTCAGTTAACGGTCTGGCTCGGCTCTCTGGTAACAAGATGGCGTGTTTCACCTATGTTCTGGGTAGCAATGCTTATGATTTTAAAGGACACCTGATGGGTGTCCATCTGGATTGGAAAAGAGAACAATGACTCGTGTAACTGGCTGTGCCTCTTGAGGGGATCCTGGGGGCTTGGCCAACACATTTGTTCAAGAAGATATTGGCCTCTGAGGGACCTGTACCTGCCCCAGGTGGATCCCGTCTCCTTGCACCTGAGCTGTGTGGGCTGCCTCAACTCCCCTGGAAGCGATGCCTAATGCCGCCCTGCCAGCAAGCGGGGGTTACCCTGCAACATCTTTCCGAACAGATTCAGGACAAGAGGGGGGCCTGAGAACATCCTGTGCATTGGAATGTCTGGCTGAACCTGAGATGACCTCGTGGTGGGTGTTTCCACCTCCCAGGTTACTCTCTGGTGTACACTCTACACCACGTGTTCTCCTTACCACTGTCATTGTCACAGTGAATATTCAGAGCACACCTGCTGTGGGCCAGGCACTGTGACTGTTTGTACACAATATGGTTCATTTTCAAAATGACACCGAAGTAGGTACTATAGTGATTCCATTTCACAGGTGAGAGTATGGGGGCAGCCCTTGGGTTACCAGGGCCGGTGGAGGGGCCAGCTCTGAGAAGAAGCAGGGGAAAGGCAAGCAAAGATAGACTTTTATGTCTATCTCAGAGGAACTCTGAGCTCCACCTGCCCAAAGAGGGAAAGAAATCTTCCACACGCTCTCATTCTAAAATTCAAAGGTATTTACACACACATGCGCCTGCCCACATGTATATGCACGTGTAAATTCATCCACACAGACCCACTCACGCCCACCTGCACACTCGTGGATGCATGTGTGTACATGTGTATATTTAAATGTGTGCATCTTAGAAAATACCATCACACGAGATCAGAGTCACACATGTACTGAGCGAGACAAAGACAGCGTAAAGCAGAGAACCCCGTTCTCACTTACGGTGTCCCACATCACGACGTACACATCTGTGCTGAATGAGTTATTAACGTGCTGAGTAATATACAGATTGATGAAGTCACAGAAGTGGTGATACATGTTAACACCTAGTATTGGAAAAAAGAAATCTATGTTAATTAACCCCAAAGAATAAATGATTATGCAATTTTTATTTTACCCCATCTACTTACAGTATGGTAGACTTCTAGCTGAAATAAATGGGGGTGGGAAAGAAGAGCTTTTCCAAACATGAAATCGTCAATATACAAGTAGTCCTCAGTTTATAGATTGATTATGTTCAAAAATTCACTTTAAAATTGATTATTTGGAAATCAGGAATGCATTTTCCCACATACACTAAGAAACAAATGATCATTAAGTTCTCAGAAAAAAATTACAGAAGCCTATTTAACTCAATATGGGATAGAACTATAGAACCATGAAGACTAATTACTATTTTTATGATCATTTATTTTTTAAATCAATTAAGTGGCACCTGTTCATCACAGAAGTATTGGCAATGAGGCAACTGTTCACATCTTGGTATTTTTCATTCTTGTCTCTTTTTTTCCCCCTATTTAATCACTACTTAATATTGTTTCTTGGGAAAATATTAACCAACTATCATTTAAAAAGGCTGAATGTCTCATGTTCTAAATAAAAGGGAATGAACTTTGGAGTCAGAAGTTGAATCATGAGCAATGCTCTCAAGTAAGTCTGTAAATCTTGAAGCTTTAGCTTCTGCGCTAAATAGGAAATCAACATACTTAGGTATCGGTAATGTATTTAAAAGTACCCCGCCCAGTGCCTGGCACAAAGTGGAAGCCTAATGAAGGCTGGCTGGACCCTGCAGGCGGAGGAAAGGGGAGTGCTGTGCCGCTTTCTGTAAGATCCTAAGCCTGGCACTCAAGAGAACCTGAACATTTTCTCAGTCCCTCTCTCTTTCTCTCTCCTTCCCGCCCTCTCTCTCTTCCAGGTTGAATACTGGATCCAGTATTCAACCTGGAAATGTGCAACTCTAAATGAGATAAAATCTCAAGAACTGACATTTAAAATATGCACTTTAAAGAAGGGAAAATGTTGTGGTGGAGGATATAGCTTAGTTGTAGAGCGTGAGCTTGGAGTGCACGAGGTCCTGTGTTCAGCCCTCCGTGGCTCCATTAAGGGAAAAAAAAATAAAATAAAATAAAATAAAACAAAATAAAATAAAATAAAAAAACAAACATGCAAATATTTATTTAAAAAAGAAGGGAAAATGCTGATCAAAGAAAAACAGTGACTCTCAAAAGAAGAAATCATAAAATACTGACTTCATTCCCATAGCAAAGAGTAACACTGCATGCCAGAAAATAAAAGTTAAAAAGTACTCCATTTATGGCGGTCAGGTCATTACGCTGTACACCTTCAACTTACACAGGGGTAGATATGAATTACATCTCAATAAAGACCAGAAAAAGGAAAAAAAATATGCCATTCATTTTAGACTGCAATCTTAGACAAATCTTTCAAGTGACTTTTTTTTTTTCCCCAGAAAAATCTTGACAAAGAAACTATTTTCAAATAAACAAGAAAACAAAGTCCTACGATAGCACATGCCCTTTTCCCAGGTCAGCACACAGCACACAGCACACATCAGCTCTCTCATGAATCATCCAGCAAGTCCGTAACATTTATTAAAGGATGCTGAATGCACAAAATAGCCCTTGGTGCTGAGACGGTTTATAAATGAGGGAGAAAACATAGGCTCCAGCCTCAAAAAATGTGCCCCAAATGAATCCTGTTCTGTGGAATGCTCTTTCTCTCAAGCTAAGAGCTCATATGAAAAGGAACACAGATGACAGCAGAAGTGGGAAGAAAAAGGGAGAGTTATAAATACAGAGAAGGAAGGACACACATCCACATACTTTACTGCATAGGTAACTCCATAAATGTAACCGTTCACACATGTTCAGCCCTCTTTCAGGCAGATCAGTGTTTTCTTTGCCCCTTTTAAATTTGCATGCTTTAAAAATGAGTCAGGACCTTAAACACAGCATTTTACCTGCTCTCATTCCCAAACCTCAATTTGCCTGATTTCTGAACCTCATACTTTGTAATGTAAGAATTATGACTTCAGAAGGCAGAGCACATTAAAAATACAATCAATAAATTGGAGGAATTCTGAAATATTCGTGACAGAGGGTTCTCCATATTTCACCACGAGCCTGGCCTCTCATGAACTTCGGTGTGGTGTGGCACAGAAATTGTCACCTCTGATAGTGAGAGAGAATGTCATCGGTTTGTTTCTCCCCTCCAGGGCCACGAGCTCACAGAGTGAAAGCTGTGTTTGCATGTGCAGAGTGAGACGTTATAACCATAAACAGGAAAGTAATTTTAACTTTTTTTTCAAGAATATATGGCAAGGTTTACTTCCCAAAGAATTTTAAGTTAACTTTAGTCATGGAGATGGTATCAGAAAGTTTGCCAGAAGAGGTCATGGCCCCTCCTTCCCCACTTACACATATACGTGGATTTAATTTTTAAAAAGTTCTACTGAAGCACAAGCTAAATCAAGCAATTAGAGAAACCAGACAGGGCAAATTTAGTTACAAAAGGTGCACCGATGCTTTCTTCTCTCATCTTTCGATTTTGATTGAGACATCTGATATAAATGTGATGATTTCTTCCAAAATGCCGAAAATATAAAATAGTGGGCAAATTAGTTCACTTCTTCAGAGCAGCAAGCAAAAGGCAAATCTACTGTTTAATGTCACACTGTGCTTCCAGAGTTGTAGGACATTTATCAAAAACATGAACAAAGTCACACTGACCAATAAATAAAAAACACACAAATTAACTTCTCACCTGCATCTAATTTCATGAAGTAGGTTGGCTTTTCAATAACAATGTCACACTTAGCATCTTCTACAGGTCTGAAGTTGAGCTGAGTGTAGCTCTGTAGCTCAGCAAACCTAGAATGAAGAATTCGGAGCTGCTTTCAAAGCGATCCTCCTGAACTTCCCACTGCAACACTGTAACTTAGGATCTGTTCCTTAAGGGGATCTTACTTCCAGAAAACGTCTCTTATAAAGACATGTGGAACTTTTCTTACTAACGCTTCTATAACTTGATTTCGATTTTAATATTGAGTCAAGAGACAAAAATGGGCTTACATTTTTTGCCTCATGTGCAAGACCAACCGGGAACTTGCCTGACAAAGAAGAAATTTACATAGAGAGTTGACTAAAACAAAATCTACCAGTAAAGTGGGAAGACTCAGAAAGGTTTCTTAGAGTCTGAAGAAGCTCAGAAGTAACACTGACCCAGAGAATCTTCTTAAATTCTGAGAAAGATGGCAACCAAGAATTACTGAGTGCCTTGGAAAGACAGCAGATGACTATCCTTCCCAGAGGAAAGGGAAGTCTTTTTCTCAGAAAACAACTTCGGGTGGAGAGTAAGGCTCACGTGGTAGAGCGCATGCTTAGCATGCAGGAGGTCCTGGGTTCAATCCCCAGTACCTCCTCTGAAAATAAAGAAAGAAACCTAATCCCCGCCCCCCCCCAAAAAAAACCTGAAAAAAAGAAAACAACTTAGGAAGCCACCTGGTGCAATTTTCTTCCATACAAAAGAAGACAAGCACAAGGCAACGTGAAGATCACCTGTACCTGTTCATCTCTGAGAACAGATCTGAAGGTAAGATAAATATCAAAAGATCCTTTTAAAATGTGCATAATGCTGAAGTATTTATTGTAGTGCTTTCAAAAATATGTCCACCAACTCTTTAATACTTCTCCCTTCAAGAGGTGGAGATGAATTCCCTCCCCTGGAGTGGGGGCTGGACTTAGTGATTCACTGCCAATGAGCAGAACACGGCAGAAGTGAGGGTGTCACTTCCTAGATTAGGGGATACAGAGACCGCAGCCTCCATCTCGGGACATGTGTGCACTCTCTCTCTCTCTCCTCCCTCTCTCTCTCTCTTCCTCTCTCTCTCTCTTTCTCCATCTCTCTCTCTCTCTCTCTTTCTCTCGCTCTCTCTTAGACACGCATTTTGGGGAAGCCGGCTGCCAAGCTGTCAGCAGCACTAGGCAGAGGCCCATATGGTAAAGAAATGATACGACTGGCCAACAGCCAGAGCAGAAAACCTGAAGATGACAAAAACACGAATGAGCTTAGGAAGCGGATTCTCCAGACCCAGCTGGGCCCAGTGATGGCTACAGGCCTTGTCAACAGCTTCACTGCAATTTCCTGAGAGACCCTGAGCCAGAACAACTCAGCTAAGCTGCCCCTAAATCCTGGCTGTCAGGAACTTCAGGAGCTAAAAAATGCTTATTGTTTCGAGCTGCTACATGAGTAATTTATTATACAGCAACAAACAATTAATACAAACATACCATAGGGAATTATCATGATGTCAAAAAGTATTAGGAAGCAAATACCAAATATTTGACTTTTGATCTCAGATATCGAAGTGTACTAGGAATCAAAATGTCCACTAGAATACAGCAACTCCTACTGCTAAAGTTTAAGTCAAGAAAGATCTTGCATTACAGACTGTAAGATGGCGCACAAATGTAACGTAGACTGTCATTCTGAATGGCCCGGTTAGTATGAGTGTCTGACCTCAGAAATGAACACTCAGACATAAATGTAAGAACATTTTTTTGGAACTGTCTCCTAAAGCAAAGGAAATAAAAGCAAAAATAAACAAATAGGACCTAATTAAACTTCAAAGCTGTTGCACAGCAAAGAAAACTATCAACAAAACAAAAAGGCAATCCACAGATTGGGAAAATATATTTTCAAATGATATGAATGATAAGAGGTTAATATCCAAAATATATACACAGTTCATACAACTCAACATCAAAAAAACAAACAACCTGATTAAAAAAATGGGCGAAAGACCTGAAAAGACATTTTTCCAGAGAAGACAAGCAGATGATCAACAGGCACATGAAAAGATGCTCAACAATGCTAATCAACAGAAAAATGCAAATCAAAACCACAATGAGATACCACTTCACACCTGTCAGAAAAGAACACAAGCAACAAATGCTGTCAAGGATGCAGAGAAAAGGGAACCCTCATACACCGTTGGTGGGCATGTAAATGGTGCAGCCACCATGGAAAACAGTACAGAGGTTTCTCAAAAAACTAGAACTAGCACATGACCCAGCCACTTCACTTTCGGGTATATATCCGAAAAACAATGAAAACACTAATTCAAAAAGATACATGCACCCCAATATTCACAGCAGCATTATTTATGATTGCCAACATATGGAAGTAACTGAAGTATCCATCAACAGAAGAATGGATAAAGAAGATGCGATGTACAGATATATACGTGTATGTATATATCATATGCTATCTAAATATACACAATGGAATACTACTTAGCCATGAAAAGAATGAAATTTTGCCATCTGTAACAACGTGGATGGACTTGGAGAGCATTATGCTAAATGAAATAAGTCAGAAAGAGAAAGACAAATACTGTATGATATAATACTGTATTATATGTGAATCTAAAAAATAAAACAAACTAGTGAATATAACAAAAAAGAAACAGACCCACAGATATAGAGAACAAACTAGCGGTTTCCAGTGGGGAGAGGGAAGGGGAAGGGGCAAAATATAGGTGGGGGTTTAAGAAGTACAAACTATTAGATATAAAATAAATAAGCTACAAGGACATATTGTACAACACAGGGAATATAGCCAGTATTTTATAATAACTATGAATGTGAATGTGTAAAATTTGTGAATCACTATGTTATACACCTGAAACTTATAAAATACCGTATATTAACTATACCTCAATAAAAAGGAAAAAAAAAAACAGGAGTGTTCTATGTGACTATAAAGGGGAACATGACAGCTCCTAGGATTACAGAACAGTTCTGAATCCTGATTATGATAGTGGTTACATATACCTAAA